TCTTTTGTGGCTGCTTCAACCAAAAATTGTAAATATTTTTTTTTGGAAGAGTGCCGAGTTCTTGACTATTKTAGTTGAATATTTTCTACAAAGTAAAACTTTATGCCAAATTGACTTCAGGTATAAAAAAAAAAAAAAATTGCAACGATCAAAAAGCGGCACAGCAATTTGGCTTTGGTGAGCGCCAAAACGCGAGTATTGGGCAGCAGGCCGGCACGTCAGTTGCTGAGAGTCTATAAAATTGTGATTAGTTCGTTTTTTTCTAGTGTTTGTTATTACTGTTGCCCTTGCTGATTTGATTGTCTGCCCGTAATCCATTGCTCACACACTTGACGATCGTCTTGACGTCGATTGCGGCATTTATCTCTTATTACTTTGAGATTTGCGATTAAATGCTTTTGCTTAACTATTCCACTTGTTTGRCCTGAGTTCGCTAATTTTACGAGCGGCTAGCACTTAGTATAGCACAACTCTTACGGCTGTTGGTGGCTACAGAGCGCCCACAAATCGCATATAGCCGAGTCTATTGGGTTTGTCTTTTGGCTGGCATTCACATTTGGCGCGCGCTTAATTGTCATTGTTTAYATTAGCGGCGGTGCGGGGTCAGCAGTTAGCAGGCGGTGTAGTCAAGAGCCGGTATAGCGAGCCAAACGCYGCTATTGTGCTCAGCGAACGCTGAGAATTTCGACGCGCTGCCCAGTTTCCGCGGATGCCATGTGTTTTTCGACAATCGCTCGCTCGCTATCGGAGTCAGTCAGCGGCTGCTATCGGCGTCGTATGTAATACGCAGAATACTGCACAGTTTTCGAAGGGTTTTTTTTTTTAGTGTTATCATCATTATTTGCATTATCGCAGCAGTAACTTGTATTTCTGCGGCATTCGTCTACTTACCTGTGTTTACATATGTACATACAAACATATTTAAATTTGACTACATCAGTTGTTCAATATCTCAAGTGATAAAATACCGGAACGTATTACAACCTCCTAAGCATTTGTGTTTGTTGTACCCAYATTCAGTGCCATTCAGTGAAGTGCGGCTGTGAGCATCTAAAATAGTGTTTAATTACGATTACTCGTCAGTTATCAGTCATAGTGTATTGTTTGTGTTAATTTACTCGCCTATGCAGCCTGATAATGCAATGTGCAGCAGCTGGCAAATGTTGGTGAATGTGTCACGTCGGGTGTACGGTGCAACGAGCGGGTTAAATGTGGAAGAAGAAATTTTTTGCAAGTAAGTGAAAGTGAGTGGCATCACAGCAGCAGCTGTTTRCCTGCTCGTCGGATGGTCGGCGGTGCYACACGTCGTATACGTAATGTGYATGTGKCGTTCYGTGACGTATACGACGACRACGMCTGYGGCGCAATTGCAATTGCCCACAGCCGCCAGCCACCCCACCGACTTGCATGTGTTGAGTGTGTTTGAATTAAGTGTGTGCGGACAAAGGGACGGGTCTGGGGCGTTCTTCTTTGTCACAGCTTTGCATTTTATTGGGAATACGGCTGTGTGCTGCCGTCTTTATTTATTTTCTGATTTCTTTATGCGCACATTTTTCTTTTGCTTATTTATTGTTTTTATATTTCCTATAATTAATTTTTTTTTTTGATTTTTTCAGTGTTTAAATTTTGTTACAATTTTTTTTACGTTTCCCCTTTTTGTTGTTTTCTTTATTTGTATCTTTTTCTTTTCATACCCTGCATTGGGTATATTATGTTCGCCAGAAAGTTTGTTACACTCAGAAGGAAACGTCGGAGCCGCGTTAAAGTGTATATATAAATGTTCCGGGTGGCGTGCTTATCGAATTTAGCCATGTTCTGCTGTCTCTACATATACGCTAGCTAATAATCTCTCAGTTTTCGAGTTATCGATCTTGAATTTTGTATATGTCGTTTCCTTCTTAAGAAGTTGCTTTTTTGTCAGAACCGCCGATAAGGGACCATTTTTTCGGCAAGATATATACATAAGTTTGCAGAGAACATTATCTAAGGCGTGACTATAATTTCTGAAGATATTTATCATGTTGGACCACTATAGCATATAGCTGTCATACAAACTGAACGATCAGAATCAAGTTATAATCTCCGACTGAATTTTTTACATCGGACTTCTTCTTTTTTATTGGCGTAGAAACCTCTTAAGCGGTTATTGTCGAGTTAACAACAGTGCTTCAGTCGTTCTTCTTTTTCACTATTTGGCGCCAATTAGATATTCCGAGTGTAGCCAGGTCCTTTTCCATCTGGTCTTACCAACAGAGTGTAGGTCTTCCTCTGCCTCCCACGGCGGATACTGCCTGCGTCGAATACGCTCAGAGCCGAAGTGTTTTCATCCATTCGGACGACATGACCTAGCCATCGTAGCCGCGGTCTCTTAATTCGCTGAACTATGTAAAATTCACCGCATATCTCATACTGCTCATCGTTCCATCGACTGCGGTCTTCGCCCGCGCCAATGCTCAAAGGACCATAAGTCTGACGCGGAACCTCTCCCTCGAAACTCGTAACACCGACTCACCAGATGGATGAAGAGTGATTTGTGGAATCGAGAGGACTTTACTTCTCATTTACCTACTCCGTCCGAAGTAGAACCTGTTTGGCTAGAGTTATTCTGCGCTGGATTTCAAAGCTGACGTTGTTGGCGCCAATGCTGGTTCCAAGATAGACGAAATTTCCTACGACTTCGAAGATATGAGTATCAACAGTAACGTGGGAGCCAAGTCGTGAGTGCCACGATTGTTTGTTTATTTACAGGATATTTCCACAGATATTTCCTCTTGCCCTCGTTCACTACCAGATCCATTATGTTCGCTTCTTTGTCCCACCTAGAGAAGGCAGAACTAACGGCGCGTGTATTGAGACCACTGATGTCAATCCTCGGCGTACGCCAGCTGCTATACACTCTTATAGAAGATGATAGCTTCTCTATTTATTTCTGCAGCTCGAATTATTTTCCCCAGGAGTAGATTGAAGAAGTCGCACGATAGAGAGTCTGTGAAATGTATTATAGTTTCGGCCGCCGAAATAATTTTTTTCTTGTTTTTCGTTTTTTGTGTGTACATTTTTGTTCGCTAATTTTTTTTCTGTTCCTTTTTGTTTTTTTTTA